TTGGGAGCCGGTGACTGATTGATCAGTTCATACGCCTTTCGTTTGTTCCTTTGTCAAACAGGGGCCCAATGCTCCCCAGAAGTACAGCATAAGATTGCTGGAATACAATGCTTCGCCAGGATGAAGCAAGGGGCAGTGACTTTATTTAGTGGCGAGTCACGTCCGCCACGTCACAGTGTTGTTAAACGGACATATGTGGTTTTTTATAGGGAGAACGCTTGCCAGGCGAAAACCCACCACGTCCTGGAACACTGCCGCCGAACCATTTGCTGGAACGGGAAAATCCCGAACCACCCAGCTGGCACCACGAGGAGGTTGTTCAGCAAGCCAGCCACCGATTAGCACTGGCTGCCATTCTTTGTGGGCTATGCCTTGTACCCTCGGAATGCAAAGTGCTTCTCTAAGGTTGGCAGCGACCCACCCCTGCGCTCACATTTGTTGGTTATCAGCTAGAATTTGTTCAGCAATTCAATTACCTAGGCAGCTGCCTGTGGGATCCAGGGTGAGCTTACCAACCGTATAGCAAAAGCTCGAGGTGCTTTTGATAATCTCCGCCAGCTGTGGCGCAGACGCGACCTCATTCTCGCCCTGAAGAGCAGAGTGTACACTGCCGCCTTACTTTCAACCCTCCCATACGGTAGTGAAACCTGGACCATCAGGTTTACAGACATAATTGGGCTAGCCACCTTCGACCATCGCTGCCTTCGCAGCTTGGCTCAAGTCTGGTGGAAGCACCGAATGAGTAGTGAGCGTGTTCAGCGTCGCGTATTTGGTGCAGGAAGAGCTAGTGCACCGCTCAGTACCATTATGTCAGGCACTATACTCCGATGGCTGGGCCACGTGTTGCGCATGCCAGCACCCGGACTCCTGCGACTTACACTGTTGATGTGTCGCGGGGGTTTGGTTGGGAGAGGTGGAGGGAAGGCCAAGCGATGACTTGATCGCGAGAAACAAAAACCTTCACTTCGAACCTGTCGTCCGTTGGTGCATCCTGACTATCTTGCTGGGGTCCTAAGGACGATGTACACGTTTGTTTGGTCACACTTGCTGATATGGAGAAGAGCCGGCCCCAATGGCGTGTCTTGTTTCTTTGTCCATTCTCCTTCCTTTTAGATTCCGGCTCCAATTCCCATCTCATACTTATCGTATTATATAATTTTTACATGATAATACCAGTCGTTGCATTTTTTCTTGTGTAATTTTGTGTATCTTTCCTTGTTGCATTGCGGCACATTGGCTTAGGTTTGTTTTTAACCATCAGCTAACATGTTTATGATGATTATGACTAGCTTTCGTGCTAGCGCAGCCTGTCGGCCTATTTGTCTATGCGTGCGGAAGTTGAATGCCGCCTGGGATACGGGATGATGTTGGCGATCGGTATCCTGTGGGTATTGCGGAAAAATGGCTGCAGATAACATGACTTCAGTGACATTGCGACTGCTGTCAATTAAACTGCTACTTTTAATGTATTCGTCCCAGCAGCTCACAAGCTACATAGCTCAACCCCCATCCGGAAAAGCACCAGACGCGCGTTTCACCCTCTTGGGACTTGTCCGGGGTGTTGATACTTTTAGACGGAAGGCTAGCCATGGGGACTGGGTGGGGTGTAAGGGAAACAGGTAGAAAAGTAGGCAAGGGGGCGCCAGCAGTAGCATGTTTTCGCTTATCCGCCCTGCTGTATTCATCAGATAAGTTGACCATTGATTACATTGTGCAACAAAAATTATTATTATATGTAAAAATTGTAATACACTCCACTAATCGTAGAATGTATTTCGATGTTACCTAGCACGTCAGGTTACATTTTTATAAGCAAATGATTATTTTCAGTAATGTCAAGGCTACGTCGTACGAATTATATGTAGATGTACTGAATCACAAAATATACAGAATGTATCTATGTGGCAAATAAGTTTAAAACATCACTGCAGCACTCGCCGCTAACTACTGACTGCAGCTTGGCACTCGGAAATGATGATTTCACCGTGATCGTCTCTTGTATGATCCAGCGCCCCCACGCTGCAGAAACCAGCACAAGTCACCCATCATAGAAGGCGTGTGTTTGCCACTGTAGCACTGCTTAATAACTGTCATATCTTGTTGAAAGCGCTCACAACATATCCCAAGTTCGCAAGGAAAAGTCAAGATGATTATGCAAATGTGCATCTTGAGTGACATTGGAGCACCAACAGCTCTTTAGTCCGCCATGAGCTTTTTGTGATGCCTTTGTGGTTCTTTGCCTTTGTTCCATCCAAAAATCCTGTACCCACTGACTTGAATGATCGTCACGCTTCTAACTCAAATGAAGTCAACTGGCATTCGATAGCACTGTCTACCATTATTCGGCGAATATCAGGCCCAATAAGTATCACTTCTTTGAGCTTCGCATCACTGATCTTCGGGAATACTTGTTTCAGGTACTGGAACGCAAAACCATATCGCTTATGTGCTTCGACGATAGATATGATCAGGTTGCACTAGAGGTGTATCTTCTATACTCATTTCCACTGCAGCATGCTACGTCCTCTCTGGCCACTTTTCTTTGTGTAGGGCTGTTTAGTTGCTCTGCTGTCTCATAAGTACAGGAAACTAATATTTTGTGTGGCCTTCTTGCAAACCTATTAGGATTCCGATGACTTTAAAGTCAACACAGACGTTCCAACCGTGTTTATCGTAGTTCAGTTCATCGTGTGTATCTATTGCATACTCTCGTACGTCTCCTTCATATTGGTGGCATGCAACAGACAGCTGGTTGCACATTTCCATTGTGGTGCAGTATGGCCCTGAGACAACTCTTGAACTAGTCACTGAACAAACACCATTCATCATTTATATGCCTCACGCCAAGCTTCTTCATCAGCCCTTCCACGTCTAAACAGTAACAAAAGGTTTCTCTCGTATCATAGAAACCGGACAATTTAACATTTCGCTTTCTCTATACAGTAACCTTAGTGTTTACAGCAAGTAAATACCACTGCTACAGCCGAGATGCCATCAACTCGGCCTTGTCTTTAGGCAAGCCCAGATCACGTAGAAAGTCATTCACCTCTGATTGTTCAGTAAGATGTGGGTTGACAACATCAGCTTCAGTTTTCACAGATGCCAGGATCAGGGGAATTCGACGATGCGGAATCACTACTCATCATCAGTGACATATTCACTGGAGGCATTGGAATTTGTAACGTGTAATCATGGGGAACAGGTCAAATAGCTGATGGAAGATCGGGGTAATGAACTTCGTCCTTGTTTCGGTTGGAGATACCAATGACACCGGTTAGGCAGGTGTAGCCATCTGTTGTGTGATCATTCGGCTCCCTCCACACCAAGGGGATTTCAAAGCGCATCTTGCCTTCACCCTTGAGCCACTGGGTCAGATAACCATTGCACGATGCACAAACAATATTTGGCGCTCACTTCTTATCCTTATCTCCCAGTTTCAGCCCAAAATCTGCGTGGTAGGCGGACTTCCATAGAGAAGAAATGGGTCTGCACTGCGACTTTGTACTAAACTGCCCACGGATGGAACAAAAGTGCTTTTCCTCATTGACATAACAGCGTCTTTCAGCCATGACCAAGATATCAATTAAGGAAACGCAACTCTTAATCGACTTTCAGTGTCAAGTAGATACCATGACCAAGAGGACTTCTTTTCCACGATTACAGAGAGCTAATGGACCAATCACAGGCGAGCGTACGGTGCATGGAACACACTGCTTAGCTGAAATGAAAAATTAACATTACAAAACCCGATGTGATAGCAACATTTGGTTTGCAAATTCGTAATCAGCTACCTTGGTACTACTAGAAACATTTTATCTCATTTCTGTTATAAATAATGTTGCACAATGTTATCTGCGCGACGGCCGATGCAGGATGTGGTTGAAGTTTGATGAAATAGCCCTGGTTGTACGTGGGCTGAGATACTGCCAGGGCTCCTAAACCTAGACGGAAGAACCATTAGTGTCCTCAACCGAAGCCTTTGGCTCCAAGGCCTGTCTGTAAGGCAACGGAGTGGTGTCGATGACTCAGTTTCACAGATATGGACGCCATCCTATTCCAAACCCTCAAACATGGAGGACCAGTTGATTGAGTTTGTCTGACCTCTAATCATTGACCAACCTGGTTGGATTACCTCTCAAACGGTCCATGGGTACCACTCAGCGTAGCTCAATGCGTCAAAGAGGTGAGCAAACCGTCGCTCCGCGTTTGGGTCCACTCTCGTTGCGAGAGGTTTTCAAGCACTAGGTTCCGATGGCTTGACCATGTGTTTCGCGCGCCTGTTCTTCGACTACAGCCACGGGTATTTCAGCGACCGATGTGTGGACGGAAGCTCAGGGGAGTACGCGAACCTGTGCTTTGGTGTGTCGGCTGCTGGTGCATCTCGACTTTCGGGTTGAGCTCTGGAAGGCGATGATCACCCTTGGTTGGGAACAGTTGTTGTCACTCGCAGAATCCGACCTCAGTGGCGTTTGCGCTGTGAGTATCTTTTTCCTTTCCGTTTGTCTCTCCCGCTTAGCGTCCCTTTCCAACTAAGATATCAGTAGTAACGCATAACAAGGAATGCATTTTTTCTTTTTTCTTCTTAAGATTACTCTTTTCTCCTCTCGCAAGTTCCTAATAAATCGCCCTAAATTTTGGCCACCTCCGGGAAACCCGATCAGCAAATCCAATGACTGGACACCAAATATAGCGGTTAGGGGAACTGCGATCCCGCTTAAAAGTATTGTTGCTCATTTACCAAATCAATCTTGTGTATGTCAGTGATTTTGTCCTCGGATTAGGTAGTTTCCTAATTTATGTATCTCTTTCACCGATGCATATTCGTTATCGAGATGAACTGTCCGCAGCATGCTGGTACTGTTTGATGACAGCTGGACTCGGATCTTATTACCACCTTCTCATCATTTTTGTGTTCCTTCCTGCCATCTTGGCTTATTCCATTCTGTCGCTCCAACCTGTCCTGCACATTCACCGTTTCTTGTTGTTGTCTACTTTATCAGGTGCTTCTTCAAGTGTTTATTATCCTGACGGGAAATTACAATTTCTTCAACCTTCTTACTATCGCGCTGTGCTACTCTCTTCTCACTGATGATGACTTTCATTCAAGTGAGTCTACTACGATGGATGACACACCCGCTTTTCAGTATTTCGATCTCGGAAATCCATTTTTTCCCCTAATCCTTAAGTCTAGGTTGACAAACCCCACTATTCTTATGTCAGCCAGTTGGGTTGAAACGATTCACCTGGTTGTCTAGCCTCATCCGTCCGCGAGTTGCAACTCCTTTGCGTGCAATGCAATTCTCATTCGTAATCTGTTTACGGCAATTTCCTTTTTACTGTACACACCGGTTATTTGAGTTGATTTCGTCAGGTACATTATGCCTGTATCCCTGAAGCTTATTCACCCGACTAGATATCTGACTTTCACGGAATACGTAAACCCCCGTCTTCTGATTTGTTTTCTTATATCTGTTTTCTGTTTGCCTCGCATGCATCACTGGAAACATGCAGTTGCAGGTATTTTCCTTTCACCTTGACCCCTGATGACCGCAGGTCGTTTGTGTATATTTAACGACCATTGATTGGCTTGCACTGCGCTAACACACCCACACACGCACACATAATTCAGCGTGCACACCTATAGGCACGTGATCTGGAACTGTGCTCCTTCAGCTTCATCAGCATCAATACACATTTTCTGCGTGTGAGAAATGCACCTTAGCTACTGGGCCGCAATGCAAAATAGCTAAGCTACCAAAAATTACATTACAAAAGCTCAAAAAGCAATTAATATAATGTTAAATATCATATTATCCATTTACTATGAAATTGTACTTGAAGGGGGATGGACAAAAAACGACACAAACGTCATTGGGGCCGGCTCTTCTCCATACCAGCAAGTGTGTCCAACCAGACGTCTTCATCGTCTTTAGGACCCCAACCAGGCAGTCGGGATACACCAACTGACGACAAGTTCGAAATGAGGGGTTTCATTTCTCTCGACCAAATCATCACTTGGCCTCCCCTCCTCCTCTTTCATCCGCGCTCCGGGCGCGCAAACAATGCACGACGCGGGAGTCGGTGTGCTGGCATGCGCAACACGTGGCCCAGCCATCGGAGCCTGGTGCGTGATATAATGGTGCTGAGCGGTTCACTCGCTCTTCCTGCACCAAATACGCGACGCCGAACACGCTCATTGCTCACACGGTGCTCCCACCAAACATGAGCTAAGCTGCGAAGGGTGTGACCAAATAAGCATGAGGTGCAAAATGGATGATGTACTTCCACCCCTATGTTCATGGCAGATTTAAGCTGACGAATAATTGTTTTTGTACACACAGAGTTGGCTTTATTCGGCTTATCACGACAATCTCTGCGAAACGGAGGAACCGGGATTAGGGTGACGTAACACAAGTGTGAATGTTGGTCCATGCTCTCTCCGGTGACGCGTACTTGTTTACCTATTGAAGAATCTGGCGGTCTGCGCGAGCGTTGAATTTGCATACCTGAAGGGAATCATCTGCGAATATTGAATCTTGAATCAATTCCAGGTATACTGAACTCTTACCCTCTGTCAGTAATGTTACAATTCCTTCTTGCAAATCGCATGTTGATGTTAACAACTTGGATGCAGCGCGCTTTTTGCTTTGGGACTGGCCGAGCGTAAGAACTTGCTGCTGTTATCTGAGCCGGAACTGGAAAGACAGATATGACTACAAGCTCAGAACGACCTTGCAGTAATTCCGTTCTGTCTGAGACTCAAAGGTGACTACTTGTTATTTTGGTCCGTTCCTACTCAGCCAAGGGAGAGTCTAGATACCTGAGAAAGAGAGAGAGCAAGATGTCTCATTGAGCAGGTCTATGAAATGTCTCCGCATTTGATTTATCGAAGCAGCTTAAGTATCAGCACACTTTAAGCCCAATTTTGTTGACTTGCCTCAGATGGATATCAGCAGTTCGTCGACTACGGCCCGTTGCCAATTCATGCCCCTTGCACCGGTGCTGATTACCACACCGCACGTGTTCTTTGTCTGTACTCTATCAAGTCTATCCTAGGTCTAAGCTGGTGTGATGATTGGCTATCGGCTGGCGATCTTTGTTATCCTCAGACACCACCCAGTTTTACGGACTCACCTTGTCTACTGCCGCATTCTAATGTCCCTTGCTTACCGATACTTCGAGAATGATGGCTTACTCACTCGCTAGTAGCTCCACTGATCACTAATCTGGCCTCACCTTGTCGAATTTATTCATATAGCTGCGCTTTGTCAAATTTTTCATTCATGTATGCGCTTGGAACTTGGCCATCCCAACGAGACCGAATCTTAACGTGGTGCGATGGTTTGCGTACCCCCTGACCCATTGAGCTTCGCTAGGTGGCACTTTCCAAGTATCTTCAGAGCCACTCATACCAGACAGATCAGTGGTTAGGAGTCAGACTAACTCAGTCTCACCACCCAGTCATCTTGGCAGATTAGGGAGTGGTCGATAGCCCCTTACTTGAAAACCTAACCATAGGAGACAGCTCAATTGGCCTAGAGTATGACCGCCACGGTGGGAGGATACCTTCTGATACTCAATGGTTTGCTACCGCCCGCTTCAAACTAGGCAGCCCCTGGTCAAATTAGTTCAAACCTGCCAACTCCCATCTGCAGCTGGCCGTGGTCACATGTGCGCAACATGATACAGTCGAGAACATAACTGCACTGTTCGAAATCCTCAAAGACTGTGTAGCAAAACTTAATTCGTCGTGAGAAGCAGATGTGGCACCTCCCACCATGGAAGAGATCCAACACGAGCTTTCCGTGTTGAAACAAAACATGGCTCCTGGACCTGAAGACCTTCCATTTTTGCTGAAGGATGTCGGTGACCCTTTGTTGACTGAACTCGCAACTTTATTTAACACGATTGAACAGTGAAGAGGGGCTATTAGTCTGGGGACTGTCAACTGCCGTGCCCCTCTTCAAGAAGAGTCTGCTTTGTGCGAAAATCATCGTGGCATCGGCCTTGTTTCCATTGTCTCAATGCTCCTCACCTTTATCATTCTTCGACGACTTATTGGTCCGCGTAAGAACCGAATCACTGGAAACCAGGCCGGCTTCCGTCCTGGTCGTGGTTGCATCGACCACATGTTTACTCTTCGCCAAGCGTTGGAGCAGAGACACACATACAGACGACCGACAATGGTGGTTTTCCTTGACTTGTAAGCTGCCTTCGACTCTGTTGGCTGCGCCAGCTTGTGGCACTGCCTATCCATGAAGGGCGTGCCGACTAAATTCCTTTCCATTCTGAAGTCACTCCATCGTGACTCCCGAGGTCGTGTAAGGGTCTACGTGAAACTGTCTCATGAGTTCCCCACTACAAGTGGGGTCCTCCAGGATTTTTCTGTATCTCCTTTCCTTTTCAACTTCGTGATCGAAATGATCATGAGTGCCTCCGTTCTTTCAGGCTGTTCTGGAGTGGAAATTCTACCAGGTGACTGACTGACAAACCTGGTGTATGCGAACGTCATAGTTCTCCTTGTGTCTGATGCATTAACTTTGCAAACGCTACTGCACAGAATTGTGCCTAACGCTACACGCTTCGGCATATACTTTGCACCTTCAAGATGCCAAGTACTGTTTCAGGACTGGGCAAACACACCGGTTTTGGCTATTTCGAAACAGCCCCTGGAAGTGGTGACTCGGTTACCTTGATAGCTGTGTCACCTCTAGTGGTCACATCACTGAAGAAGTTACTTCGCGTATTAGCAAGGCCCGTGGGGCTTTCCAGAGGTTTAACCATCTATGAAGACGGTGGGATATCAGCTTGTCAGTGAAACGCTGCGGTAACGTCTGTGTTACTGTATGGATCAGAGACCTGGCCAGTTCGCAGTGAAGACATCGAACGCTTGGCCGTGTTTGACTACCGGTGCTTGCAAAGTATTACTCACGTTTGGTTGGAACACACGGTGTGCAATGTTGAGGTCCGCCAGTTGAATTTTCGCAAAAAGCCTCCTGCTGCCTCTTGAATTTTTGCTAGATCTTAGTCCCTTGCGTTGTCTAGGCCATGTCCTCTGTGATGCCTTTGGTTCGGCTTCCTAGGCGTGCGTTATTCGCCTTGGCTGCACTGACCTGGGCGAAACCACTAGGTTACTAGTCCATGACGTGGCATCGAAGCTTGGACAACTTGACTGGAGACTTGGTCTGGCTTGTGCGTGCCGTCCTCGTGTATGGAGACGTCGGGATGGTCCACACTAATGGTTGAAGATCCTGCCATACAAGGCACAGTTTCGCAGTTAGCGACGTCCCTGCATCGGTTTCTTTCATCAGGTTGTTAATTTTTGTTCCATTTGTCTGTGGTACTTCCTTCTTGTAAGATGATGCCCATTTCTGTGAATCTTAAAGAGGTATCTGAGCGGTTAGCTTTCTACAGACAATTGTTTTCATTTAATTCATTATTAGATTGTTCGAGTAATAGCCGCAATGTTGAAATAGGTTAGATTACTGTACAACAAATCAATAGATTTGACAGTTTAAGTGCTTTCCCAACATTGGTCAGGTGATCAAGTCACAGATGTCATGCGAGTGTTGGGATGTGATCCCCTCTGTTCGTTTGTGGTTGGCCAAGGCATTTATAGTGATCGAACCATCTTCTTTTGGATGCATAAGTC